CAGTGTTCCCTCTAAGCTGAGTTACTGTGAGCTAGCTCACAGTTTTTCAGACTCCAGCTCACACATTTTTTGTCTTAGCTCAGGAAGGATGGCTCCAGAGCAAGCTAATTTATGCAGCAGCCAAATCGCTCGCTCACAACTTTAATGCCAGTAGCTCACAAAGTAGAATTTTTGCTCACAAGACCCCACAGCTTAGCGGGAACATGGGGGGGGGGGAGTGCTTTCCAAATCACCTCAGTATCCCTTTGCTGGCCTGCAGCTTGTACCTCTGAATATAACCAGCAGGGGAATGCCAGCATTTAGAGGCGCATGGTAAGCCACAACTGAAAGCAGAATGGGAAAAAGAATGGGCCTCAGCCTGACCCATCGAGCCAGTTCTCAACTCCAGGGGGCAGAGGTTGCATCCAGGGGTGGGGCAAGAAGTAGGAAGGACCTCCACCAAGCTGGGGCCAGCTGCTCCTCTCCATCTTTTTTGCCATTCAGTGCAGCAACAAAAAAGAGGGAAGCAGCCAGTCCTGGAGGCTCTTTCATGGCATAAACCTCTTGGCTGGTTGCTCTTCTCCATATCCAGGTTACTGAGGGGTGTGAACCTTTGACCCATTCAGAGCCCTTAGCTGCAGGTATGCGATGCTGGACTGCCCGATTTGGTGAGCCGCGGCATTAGTTTTAGGCGGAGTGCTGCCGCTGCCCTCCAGAACGGTCTCAGAGTCCCGAGAGAGGAGCGGAACTCCTCCGGAGACAGTTGGAAGATTCGGGGGCGGAGCCTGAGGAAGGCGGGGTTTGAGGAGGAGCTCAGCAGGACAGAATGCCGCAGGGGCCACTGTCCGAAGCAGCCGTTCTCCTCCCGGAGGGGTCCGATCTCTGTAACCTGGAGATCGTTAGTCATTTTGGAATATCTGCAGGTTGTGTAGGTGGGCAGCCCGAGCGAGAGAGGGCCCCCAGGCGCTATAGAACAGGGAAGCGGGCTACTGCCTTTCAGCTGGAGGAAAGGAGGGTATGGGTGTCTCTCCCTCCGTCTCTCTCAGTATGTCCTTTCCCTCCATCCCCCACACAGTCGTCACTCATGGATCTTGCCGATGTCTTCACCACCCCACCACCTGCCGCTGACCCCTGGGGTGGACCTCCTGCCCCCGCTGACCCTTGGGGTGGCTCTGCCCCAGGTGTGCCCGCAGCTCCCGCCGACCCCTGGGGACCGTCTGCTACTGGCGCAGCCTCTACAGGAGGAGACCCGTGGGGACCCCCTGCAGCGCCCCCTGCAGCCCCCTCGGACCCATGGGGAGGCCCCTCAGCTGCAAGCACTGACCCCTGGAAGCCTGAAGGTAAGCACACGGGCATCTAGGAGGCTGGGGGAGACCTTGTGCAGCATATTTAAACCAGCTTTTGATTATGCCCAATATCAGAGTCTAATAGCATCATTCTTCCTAGACTCCCCGACTCCCCTGAATATTATCATCACCATCGTATGGCATTGTGTGTAGTGTAGCCAGGAGTTCCTAAGATTGTCAGCCAGAAGTTCTAGCTCTTTTAGCATTATGTACCACTAGATGGCGAGCTAGACTTGTTTTTGGGGGTGAGGGAGTTCTGAGAGAACTGTGACTGACCCCAGGTCACCAGCTTGGCTTCACATGGAGGAATGGGGAATCGCCTTTCATGGTATAGATGGGTTTCTTTTCTTCTCAGAGCTTAGGAGATTACTATTAACTAAGGTCCAGGGCGTGGGCTGGGTTGTGCAAGAGGGCCAGAAGCAGAAGCTTAGCAGGTGTGTTTGAGCCTGACACAAACAAAGGAATTTTAAAGGGAAACTATAGTTTGAGATTGCTGAACTCAGATTAATTCACAAGTTCTGAACAATGGACACTGCTCTCCCACCCACCCCCCGACATAGGATTCTTCTCTCATTACAAATGCTAATTCCCTGCCCCCAGGTATGTCCCGTCTTCTCTGAAGAAGCTGATTGCAATATACATAGTACCTTTGCTCTGAACAAGCTGATTGCAGTATACATAGTACCTTTGCTTCCCTTGCAAGCATTTGTTACAACAACCCTCCCACCGTCTGACTAGGATAATAGGACTCAGGTCTACGCTTCTGATCTACTATGTCTAGGGGACTTTGACTCTCGAAGGCTTATGAGCCTGAAACTCTTCTTAGCCGCTGAGGCGCTCCTGGACTCCAATCTTAACTTGTTCTCCTGCAGACCGACACGGCTACCCTTTGAAACTACGTTCGGTCTTACAAACACCGCTAATTGTAATTTATTTCAAAAATAATAATGAATACAGTGAAGGATTACTGTCTAAAACACAGAACTTGCACGTCTGTCGTTATCCAACCATTACAGATGCTAAGGACCGAAAGATCGCAAATATAGCAGCATCTTTCTCCAGCTCGGTGTGAAAAGTGGGTCTCAAGGCCTGTCCCACACATCTCTTCCGACACTGCCCCTTTGTCACTTTCTACGTGCCTGTCCGTGGCTCGTCTTTCGGGTTCCCCCCTGCCCCCCCCCCATCTTTGCAATGGACTATCCCCCCCCCAGTCCTTGCGAAACAGGCTCTGATATTCCTATCTCCTCCCAGGTGGGGGTCCCACCGGGACCACAACAGTACCACCCACAGACCCCTGGGCGTCTGGTCCAGCTCCGGCATCCCAAGGGAAACCTGCACCCGATCCTTGGGCTCCAGCATCAACGTTCTCAGACCCCTGGGGTGGCTCCCCTTCCAAACCCAGCACCAACGGCACCGCAGGTGAGGGGAGAGTCGGGCGTCAGGAATCCCTGGCTTTGGGGTGGGGTGGGGTGGGAGCAGGCTTTTGAGCCAGGATTTTGTCCCAGAAGGTGCGAGGAAGGGAAGGAAGCGAGGGCCGTCGGGCCAGGATGGGAAGGCATGGGAACGGGCCCCTTCCTCCCCCCCCCTTCTCCCTGCTAATCCTCCTGCCCCATCCCTTCCCTTCTCCCTCCCCTCCTCCAGCTGGCGGAGGCTTTGAGCAGTTTGGCGGCCCCGGCGATGGGGACGAGTTCTCGGATTTCGACAGCCTGCGTCCGGCGCTGCCCAAATCTGGGAGTAGCACAGGTGAGCCCTGCTCCCTGCATGGCTCTGCCTTTTTCGCCTCTGACCCCGGCGCCCTTGCATGTCCTCCACCGCCTTGACTGCCTTTCCCCCTGGCCCTGCCTAGGGGCCTTGTTCCACGTAGGACTGGACTGGTCCCCCCCCTCGCTGGCCCTCTGTGCCAGCCCCTCCCTGCTTGCCGCTTGGCACCCCAGAAGGGCAAACCTCGTTCCCGCATGTATTTCAGGGGGGGGAGGGGTGGCTGTGTCTCGCCAGTTTCTTCAACTTGGGCCTTGCCACTTTAGGTTTCACACAACTTCATCGGCGCTGGGAGCATCGAGCGCAGAGCTGCCCTTTGCCGGCGGCGCGTGGCTGTGTGTACACGTGTCTGTTTTCCTGAATAGTCTTCTCCCCTCCTTTTTTTTCTTGTCTCCACCACTCCCTGCTTTCCTTTTCTTCCACCTCCCTGACCCCAGGTGAGCTGTCACTCTTAGCTGGGGAGGTGCCGATTTCACGGGCCGGCATTGGCACCGACAGCCCCAATGCTTTCGACATGGCGACCGTGGGTGGATCGTTACCCGAGGCCTCCAAACCGACGCGCAAGACCCCGGAGTCGTTCCTGGGTCCCAACGCTGCCCTCGTCGACTTGGACTCGTTGGTCAGCAAGCCCTCCGTCGCCTCCAGCGCCGCAAAGGCCTCCAACCCCTTCCTGCCGCCCGGTAAGCACTCGGATCCCTGGGCAAGGGCGACCTGTGGATCGCAGCAGGATCTGAACTTCTCCTTGGCTTTCTTGGGCTGGGAAAAAGAGCTGAGTCCTGCTGCCCTCTCAGAGCCTGGAAGGATAGAGGTGGGGCCGGTAGCGGTACTCTGGTTCTCGCTCCACGGGCTTTGGTGTTAGGAGCAGGATTGCAAACGGAACTGTACGGAGTCGGTACGAAAACTTTGTTCCAAGGTCATTCTTTTTGTCCCGTGGCCAGGAAAAAAACAACAACTGGATTGCACAAACTAAGCGTTTTTGTGTGATCTTGTTAGACCTGTATAGTTGATTCTAATAGGGGAGGGATCTGCACAGCACTGAAGGCTCACCCTCAAACTGGAAATCAGTCAGGCCTTACATTTTCTGCCGTTACTTGGCACTTGTAAGGATTAGAAAACTTACCTTTCCATTTTAGAGCTACTTCTACAAGGGGGTAGGGGGGCTGTGGCCCAGTGGAAGAGCCTCGGCATTGCACGCAGAAGGTCCCAGGTTCGATCCCCGGCATCTCCAGTTAAAAGGACCGGGCAGGAGGTGATAGGAAAGGGCCTCTTCCTGAGACCTCGGAGAGCCCCTGCCCGTCTGAGTGGACAATCCTGACCTTGATGGACCATGATCCAGTAGAAGGCAGCTCCGTGGCTTCACGTGCCGCCATCCCGGAGTTGGGACAGAGCGGCCGTGAACTAGGACCGCCAGGTTCTCCAGGGCCGCCAGCCTCTGAGTCTCTCCTGGATTCTCGGGCGAAATGGGCAGTGTTTGGTTTTGATGTGGGAGGTTCTTGCCGCGACGCTGTGATGATAAAAAGCAAAGATGAGGATCAAAAGAAGACCAGGATCTGTGGGCGGCCGCCTATAATGGTTGCTTTTAAGGTTTTCACCGCTTGGGACCTGGTGGGCTGAAGCAGGGTACAGCTGGCATTTGGGACCCTCCGGGTGGCTCTGAGCAGGGGGGGGTCCTGTAGGGACGGGGAGCAGGTGGAGGTGGGAGCTCGTTGAGTCACGGCAAGGGAGGCGGCAGTCCCGGGCTTCCCTCATAATGACTCCCCCCCCCCCCCCCCCCTCTCTCTCTCATCTCTGCCGCAGGTTCTGCCGCCGCTCCCGCCCCGTCTGCCTCCGCCACGAACCCCTTCCAGGCAACGGCCGCCACCCCCCTTTCGCTCAACCAGCTGCGCGTCAGTCCGGTTCTCCCTCTGTCCCAGCCAGCACCCCCGGCTTTTCCCGCCACGGCCCCCATGGTCTCCGTGTCTCCCATGGCCCCCGGCATGCCCCTCGCCTCGGTCTCCCCAATGGTGGGGGTGCAGCCCTTGGGGGCCGTTCCGCCCATGGGCCTCCCTGCCATGGGGCTGCCCCCTCCCACCATGCCTCCAGCCGGCATGGTCCCCAGCAGCACCTCGGCCTCCACCCTGGGGAGCACCAACCCGTTCTTGCTATAATCGGTGGGAGTCTTTGTCCTGTGGTGAACCACCCCTCTCTCTCCCCTTCCCCCTCCCCGCCCAGTTGTATTTCCAGAGGGCGCCGCTGCCGCCGCCCCCCCAAAAAAAGAAATTTCACGGCTGAATGGGACAGCCGGGGTGGGGTGGTGGAAAAGGAAGGAGAGAGGCAGGACTTTTTATTTCGAGCTCTTCCACCCCCTCATTTCAGGGGCTGGGCAGACGTCCCCCCATTTGTGTTGGTAGAGGCCAGGCGGCCAGGGTCCCTCCGTCCCCCAACCACTTTGGCCTTTAGGGTGGTCGGGAGGGTCCGTTTTTGCTGCAGTTCCAGAAGCAGCAAGTGGCAACTCACTACAACCCTACGGGAGGCCAGGGTGACCTATGCAGGGGAGAGAATTAGAAACTGGCAAAACAAGGGTAGGGGGTAGAGGTGGCTCTCTCTGTCTCTCTCTCTGTCTCTCTCTCTCTGTCTCTCTCTCTCTGTCTTTGTCTCTCTCTGTCTCTCTCTCTATCTCTCTCTCTGTCTCTCTGCCACCCTCCCCAGTTGTCACAATATCTGCCCCACCTCTTGAGGCAGTGTTAAAACAGGACATCCCCTTGCACACTGTGCCCCCCCCATGTCTCTTTCCCGCCCCTGCGAAAGGGAGTCAGAAAGGGAAAACGCCAACCCCCTACCGCTAGGCCCTTCCAAATCAATTCACAATGGGGGGCAAGCGCTAACCTTTTTATTATCATTTTCCCCTAGACTTCTCCCTTTTCCAGATGTGTTACTCCACGCCCCCCACCCCTCCGTTTTCCCATTTTAGCTGGGACCAGCCCTCCTCTGCCTTTTGTGTTTTTTTTTCCCTTGAAGGGTAGGACTAGGGCAAAATCAGTCAGGCCTCCTCACTCTAGAGGGCCTGGTCGAGGCAGAGGGGAATCGTTGGTCTGTCTCCTCCAGCCTTGGGGCCAAGAGGGAAACCACTAACCGAAGGCCAAAGCTGGATCTCGAGCAGGGAGCCGAGCCGGCCTACCTGGGGCGGGGCCATGCCTGAAGACCCGCCTTCAGTAACCTTCCAGTTGGTCCTTTAAGAGAATCAATCACCTTTACACAAAGCATGGAACCCTGTTCAAAGTGTCATGCCTTTGGGGAGCCTTGAAACATTCGCCGCAGCCTACTGCAGAGGAGGAACCCAGAAGCCGTCCAAGGAGTCTAGAAACCGTCAAAGGGAGCTTTCCTGGGGCTGGAGAACAGTTGCAGGAGCGCCAGTGCTGGGGGCCTGGAGACTAGCGAAGGCCTCTTGCCCATCTGGTAAAGCCGAGCCGCCCCTTCTTCACCCCACCCCAGTCTGTGGACTCGAGCAGCCCGGACCCAGGACGCCTTGGACTCGTGGATTGAGGGAGACGCTTTCCCTGCCCCCCTGTGCACATTGCTTGGAAGGTGGGGGGCAGGGGTCCGTGCACCCAGGAACCTGTCCAGCAGCACTCTTCACAGGGGTGGCGTCCAAACACAGTCGGTGCTCTCACTCTTCTGGGCGCGATCCGCTCTTCTCCCCACGCGGGGTTCTCTTCTCATGCCACCATTTGCGACATGTCCCGAGGGCCTGCCGGGAGAGGCACCGTGGATTTACAAATGAAACTTTTAACTCTTTTCTCCCCCACCCCACCCCTGAACTTTCGTCCCGGACAAGCGCAGTGTTTGCTGGGGAGGGGGAAGGATAGTTGAACCCCTTGGACTGGTTGAAAAACATTATGGGGGGTGTGTGGAGTCTTGGATGATCGTATCCCCTCCTCCCCTTCTGTGTCAGCAGCTTGTGGGGGAGAGAGGGTCAAAGCCTGTGTGTGTGTGTGCGCGTGTGTGTATGCGTGTGTGGTGCTGCTGTAAGTGATTGTCCGTTCCTGTTTTTATGTTGGGGGGGGGCACTCACTCATAAGCATCCAGGACAATCTGCTGAATCCCTCGTTCCTGCCCCCTCCCCGTTCCCTGCAATTGTTTCCAAAGTGGGTGGCGTATGCTACCCCCCCCCCCCCGGATCGATCAATCAATCATGTTTAGGGATATTTTCCCACTACAATCCTCCGTATATTTGAAGAATTATTGTGTCATTGGTCAGGGGCTTTGGGAGAGTTAATCTTGGCTGTGTACGACCCTCCCTCTCTTGGCTCTTTTCCACCTCTACCCATACCACACACACACACACCCCACCGCTCTGGTATGCGTCAGAAGAAAAAAAAAAAAACCTCTTAATGAAATGAAATAAATGGAAGTTCTTCTATGGCACCTGGAGGCTTGGCACCTGGGCTAGCTTTTGTTGCCGGGGTGGGGGTGGGGGTAGGAGGGACGTTCCTCCGTTTACACCGTTCTGTTTCTGTTGTATAAGAGCCGTTAAAACTTTTGGAACTCGTTTTGTTGTGTGCCGTCCAGTGTCAACAGAATCATGGGGGTTTTCCAGGCAGGAGACAGACAGAGGTGCTTTGCCGTTGGCTTCCCCTGCAGAGCCATCCCCGCCAGCGATCGCCCATCCAAGTACTGACCGTAGCCAATCCTGCTTCGCTTCCAAGTACTGATGAGTCTGGGCTAGGCCAGGCTATCAGGCGGCTCAGTTTTTGTTCGGGAGGCCTTTTTTTAACACGGAGCATTCTGATGGGTGATCGTCCACCTGTGGTCTGAAGTGGTCCAGCTCATGCGGCCGCCTCATTTCTGTGTGCGCGTGAGCTGGGCCTCGGTGACGCAGAAGTTAGGGAGAATGGGGGGTTCAGCCGTGAATGTGGCTCAAGCCCAGCACTTAAAGCTGGAACCAGCCGGGAAGGTTCTTGGTTGTTCAGAACTTGTTTGCACAGCCGCAGGTCGGAAAAAGTGGCCCGAAGCTCCTGAAATAAATACTGAAATAAAAGCTCCTTTAATAAAAGCCCTTGTGGCCCGAAGGTCCTGAAATAAATACTGTGGCACCTTGGGGATTACCAAGAGGGCAACCCAAAGCCCTTTGCTCTCCCCACAAGTGTTGTGGATGGTGCTCACCAGAGAGAGCTTCCCTGCCCATTAGAATACAGGTATGGCAACAGCTGCTCATTTTACCACCGTTTGACTGTCTCTTGGTAACTCTTCAGTCACTTCTGTTTCTGATTTTTTTTCTCTCCTCATGAACACGCAGGCGACTCATGGCGGACCCCATAAGGTTTTCAAGGGAAGAGAGGTTCAGCCGTGGTGTGCCATTGCCCGCCTCCACGTAGCAACCCTCGGCTTCCCTGGTGCTAACCAGGGCCGACCCTGCTTTGCTTTGGAGATCGGGCTAGCCTGGGCTATCCGGGTCAGGGCCTGCCTCTGATGGGCTCCTGGGATTAGTAGACAACTCAGAGCCTGAAGGCTCATCCTTCAGGGTGGCTAATGGCCTAGATTCAACACACTTTGGCACGTCCCTGAACTCTGAGGAAATTGTCTGTGTTGGAAAAGGAAAGGACTGGTCCGTAGTGCCAAGGCTGGCTGGAGGAGACCAAGGCTGGATGGTGGAAGACCTTCTGAGTCGAGTGTCTGTATGTGACCTGAGGGTCAGCTTGCACAGGCATGGGCAGAACTTGGTTGCTCCTCAGCTACATGGTGGCTCAGCTAAATAATGAAGTGGCTCCGCTGAAAAGCATCGAGGGCAATATTGAAAGCCAAATTTTGTGTTGAAGCACGGGGAGAAAGGGTCTCACAAATTCCATTTCTGCCTATGCAGGAGCTTGGAAGTTTCGTGGTTGTCCTCCTGCTGCCACCAACTAGGCATTAAGAGTATCTCCTAGTGGAGGACTGGTACTCTAGCATTCTTTCTTGTACTGCAGTTTAAAGGCTGCACCTCGGCTTAGATTTGCTTGCGCCAGCTACCCTGGGGCGGACAGACAAACTCGTGCACTGTGGGGATGAAGGGATCAACCTCTCCTCCATCCTCCTAGGTAAGTGTGCCCAAAAAGGGCTTGATGTGGGCACCAAGATCAGTCTTCTACCCTGGGGCGGACAGACAAACTCGTGCACTGTGGGGATGAAGGGATCAACCTCTCCTCCATCCTCCTAGGTAAGTGTGCCCAAAAAGGGCTTGATGTGGGCACCAAGATCAGTCTGCCGATGTCCTTCAGCACTAAGAAATTTAATAAATAAAAAGCACGCACACAATTTTGAAATTGCAATGCAAATGAGCAAAGATCAAAAGAAAGCGAT